ATTTGATTTTTCAACAAGGTACCCGATCGGGTATAGGTCATACTTGACCGGGTACAACACCAAAAAATCACTCTTCAATTCGTCTTGAGATTTTTGCACCTTCCTTCCATTTGTGATGTTCACCAATGGTCCCTAGAGTGATCTTGGACCTGTTTGAGCTCAGTATAAACCTAATCTAAACAAATTACAAACATATTTACAAATTAAACTATTACACCAAAAGTGTGTAATTTCCAAGGTAACAATCAATCTAAACTAATGAAAAACATAAACGTAAGCATGGAAATTACATGAATGTCAGTCATCGGCAAAGGGATAAGACACGAGCTACGGATCCATAAAGTCAAGGAACAAGATGAGAAGTGACGAGCACTTTGTCGTAATGCGTCAAATAAATTCAATACTAACACTTATACGTAGTATAGTGAAGTAGAGTTCGTATCACAGGGAAATGAATAAATCTCTTTTTAAATGAAACTAGTAATTAAACGGGGGTTTTGGTGTTGAATGCTTTAATTTAATTAAAAACTAAGATGAACAACTTATATGTGATTTAATTCAAAGATAAAAAGAACTTGGCTTTGCTACTTTCCACTTGTTGATATATTTAGTCGATCCTTGTTATATCTATAACTTATCCCCTCTCGAATACTCAATCGAGGAGTATATCCAATTCATCGAGAGTGGTTATTAACAACGACCGTTCATTAATAACCCTTACTGTTAATCAAATATAGAACAACGCCTTATACCGATTTAATAGTAGCATTTAATCTTTCTAACTCCTTAATGAAATCAATTGAGATTGATAACCTCAACACAATGGTTTCGGTTTAACTAACAAAATTAATCCCTCTTAAGTTTATTAACCACGACCGTGCATTAATAAACCGAAGTTACATACTTGTGTAACCATCAACGATTAACCATCGGTTCATTGATCGTTTCTAGTAATAATTAATATTGAGATGTTGTCTAATTGTCATCTTAGCAACACTCCCCAACATTAATATAGAAATAGATTAAGGGAAGAATTAATATTCAAGGAGAGAAGTTAAGAAAATAACTCACAACTTTAATAATCAACAAGCTTCAAGAGCAAAACCAAGAAATGGAAGTTTGGCTCCTCATTTGGAGACTAAACATAGCTAGAAAAATATAAAGAAATACTATTCTAAACTGAGCTTAAGAGTATGGAAGAAGGGATGAATTTTAATGAAGAAAATGTGTGCTATTTATAGGTGTTTTTCAACACCTTTGACCGGGTACCCGACCGGGTATGGTGCCCACGCGACCGGGTACTGGTCAAAATCAGATCATCCGCCATGTTCTTGTGTCTCTACACGCCGGATTGCCCCTGGTCACTTCTCACCCAACTAGGTGAGGTAGTGGGCCCGACCGGGCCATGCAACTTCCTTGTAAGTTCGGTTCTCACTTCTTACCCGACCGGGTGAAGGGTTATACCCGGTCGGGTATTTGCTTCTGGATAGTCAAATTTTCTTTTTCTTCACTTCAAAGTCTTCCTTTCCAACACCACAAATCCTAACTATATTTTACAACTTACAAATGAAGACTAAAATACAATTACGACTAAAATCACACAAATGTTTACAAACTAAATAAAATGATAAACAATCCACACAAATCAAACATAAAAACATACATTTATGCACTACTAATTAGTGCCTATCAAGAAGAAAGAATGATGAACAAGGAAACCTCTTGGGGTTTGATATGTGAACGCTTATGTGTGTTATGGCGCATTTCATGTGTGATTATGATATATGTGTGGTGTATTAAGCATGAACATCTATTTATGATTAGCTGAGATTCCTTAAATGTTTTTAGTGTATGAAATGGTGACTTACTAAGCATTATTGCTTACGAGAATTCTATTCTCTTATGTTCTCATGTATAGGTAATAAACGAAGAATGGAAGTCTGAGAGAATGTATGGAGCCGGTGACAAGGTTTTGGATGGGTTAACGGAGAAGATCTCGCTATGTACTATGTTTTACTTTTAGTACTTTGGTATTTCTACGGATTGTTAAATGCTTTGAAATCCTGATCAGGTGTAACCGTTTTAAAGACGTTTATTTTATTTTGGATACCTTTTATTATGGTTATAAGGTTGGATTATGAGTATAAGATATAAAGTTTCATGACGAGACTTTGTATCTTTATTTCCGCTTTGTGTATCGAGTCTTGTTATGTTTGAGTACCGTAATGGCCGTGTTGGAGACGGTCGTTACATGGGGGGTATCATGCTCTACCTTTTATTGAAAAGGATTGTAGGAATTACATAGAAAAAGTTCGGAAACTTAGGCTAGGAAGTGGTGATGCAATGACTATCCAATGTTTTTTTTTTCAAAAATGCAAGCACAATGTTCCGGTTTCTTCTTTAGTGTTGATTTAGATGATAATTCACGCTTGAGAAATGTATTTTGGGTGGATAATCGAAGTAGATATGCATACAAAAGTTTTGGAGATGTCATTACCTTTGACACAACCTATCTAACTAATTGATATGACATGCCCTTTGCACCATTTATGGGAGTGAATCATCATGGCTAGTCTATGTTATTTGGATGTGGCCTAATCTCAAACGAAGATACACAAACTTCTGTTTGGCTCTTTAAAGCCTGGGTTGATCGCATGGAGGGTTGTGCTCCAAATGGTATTATAACCGATCAAGATCGCACCATGCAAAATGCAATTCATATTGTATGCACAGACGAGTTTGATATTGGCACACATAATTGATACATTTTTTCTTTCATCCAAGTGCGCATAAAAAAGGAAGCACACAAGACATTGTTGTTGTGGAGGGGTACACTCATGACAATGGTTTTGGTGTAGTCAATAATTGTATGACACTACAATACCAAGATGGTTTAGATTTAAACCTTTCTCTCTTTTGAAATAGTTGACATGTAAGGCTGTAACTTTTGTAAAGAGAACTCTAAAATGCACAAACATATAAGATGTGACACAACACACTACATAACAACGGAATACAAAACTAATTACACAGACATGTTTTTCAAACACAGACATGTAATGAAAAGCATATACACAAGTCTGAAATGCAAAATATTAGGAGCTCATAATAATGAATTTGATTTTGCAGAAGTTTACCTTTGTGCCATTTCAGTCAACGATGTGCGCACTATTTCCTTCGTTAGCCCTGGATTACTGTTGAAGGCTTCCATTGCCCGATTGCGATTAACTTCAAGCCCACCCTTCAACTTCAGTCACAAACGTAGTACGAGTTTCGTGTGTTGAAGCAGGCGACGGCCGGATGGATTTTCGGATGGGGTTCGTGGGTTCATGTTTAGGGCCAGACGAGGTTTCGTGGGTTGCAGATGGGGTTTCGTGGGTTGCAGATGGGGTTTCGTGGGTTGAACTTCAGAGGTGGACTAATGAGTTGAGGGATGGATTTCGTGGGTTTCGTAGGTTCAACTTCGACGTTGAATTGAGAAGATGAGGGAGAGAGGAGTTCGATCGAAAAAGGGAGTGGGTAGTTCAAATGGGAGATTTGGCTGGATTTTTTGTGGGGATTCGGGAAAGAGAAGGGGCGCATCGGAGAGTGGGAAGAGAAGCAACTGGCGGATTTTTTCGAACAACCATGCTTGATGTACACACCTTTGTACACATCTTGTACACACCATGTTTGTGAAGCTTTTTTTTGTCTGTGAACCCGATTCACAGACAATATTTTGTTTGTGCAAAATATTGTCTGTGAATCGATGTTCACAGATAAAAAAAGCTTTCAGAGATATAGGTGTGTAAAAAAGTGTGTATAAGAATGTGTACAAACATCATTTTTGTTTTTCGAAAATGTGGGCAGGTGGAGGAAGTCTGTGGGAGGATTATTTCGGTAGAAAGTTTATGGTGTGTACACGGGCATGTAATGCGCCGTGTATGTAGGACATTTTTGGTGAGTTATCTAAGAAGGAAAGAAATCCGAGTGAAAAGGCAGAAAATGGGTTGAGGCGGACGGGCAAATTATACCGTGCAACCGGCGCACCATGAGGATGGTGCGCCCGGTTGCAAAAAGACGCAGCTTCACTCTTTTTTTTTGCTTTTGTTGTTTAAAAATGATGATAACTTTCTTATTTTTGATCCGATTTTTATAAAATTTATATCAACATTTTTTATTTTTCATGATCTTTCAAATGAGACCAATATTGCTTATGTAATGTTAAGAAATTATCGAACTATTATATTAATGAGTATTGGATTATAAGGAAAATCGAATCTGTTAGGGAGATGATAGGTTTGTGAAATAGAAGATTGAATCTGTTTGGGAGTGAATCAGTGGCCTCAGTTACATTTGATAATACATTGAGTTACATCTTTTTATGAACGGGTTACATCTTTTTTATAAGCAAGTTACATCTTTTTATAAGCAAGTTACATCTTTTTATGAACAAGTTACATCTTTTTAAAAGCGAGTTACATATATATAATCACGAGTTGCATTTGACATGCCTGAACGCGACTTACATATATTTACACGTAAAGTTACATATTTTTACACGTAAAGTTACATATTTATACACGCGAGTTACATATTTATACACACGAGTTGCATTTGACCTGTCTGAACGCGAGTTACATATTTTTGTACGTAAAGTTACATATTGTTACACGTGGAGATACATATTTATACACACGAGTTGCATTTGGCCTGACTGAACGTGAGTTACATATTTTAACACGTAAAGTTACATATTTTACATGCAAATGTTAATATGTTAAAATTACATAGGCAATATTGGTCTCATTTGAATGATAATGAAAAATAAAAAATGTTGATATAAATTTTATAAAAATCAAATCAAAAATAAAAAAGTTATTATCATTTTTTAAAAACAAAAGGAAAAAAAAAATATATCCGGTATACGGTGTACGGCACTCAGGCGGACGTGACCATCATGGAGTCCATAACTTGAGGTGATCGAGGGTAGGACCCACCCCCACGCTCACTTTATATACCATCGATTCACCTTTTCAATTTCTCCGCCCCTTCCGAATCAATCATCATGGGAAGAAAGAGGAAATCCGAAAACTCGAATCCCAAAACCAAAAAGAAAATCCCGGCGGTTTCTCAGGCTGAGGCTCCTTCGTCGCCTGTGACGCCGCCACCTCCTCCTCCGCCGTGGATCGAACTGCCCGGAGATGTGACGGCTAATATTCTGAAAAGGCTGGGGTCCAAAGAGATACTCCGGAGTGCACAGAGAGTGTGTACTACTTGGTGGAAAGTTTGCCACTATCCTTCCGTGTGGCGCGTGATCGATTTGGGCAGACCGGACGTGGCCCACAAGGATTTTCGCTTGGCTTGCCGACGAGCAGTTGATCGGAGTCAGGGGCAGTTGGTCGACCTTACCATCGAATGCTTCGCCGACGATGACCTGCTTAACTACATCGCGGATCGGTAAATATAATGCACACGAATATTTGAAGAGCGCTTCCTTCTAATTAATTGTCGTTTGATTATTATATTTTTGTTCAATTACTTATGTTTGAGGCCTTTCGTTGCATGATACGGAGTATTTATCATTTTACTTAACCCGAAACTAAAAGTCATCCAAAACCCTAGCTAGTTTGGAATTGGACGGACGGTTTTGGGCAAGACAAGCTAGTCTTTGGGTCTTAGTTCATATCGTGAATCGTGATGAATACTAGTATATTTTTTCCTGAAAAAGAACGATTGGTGTTGAAAACCATTATATTACTACGTATATGATTCCATTATGTTATTATTATTATTTCAAAATCTCACATTTAAATCGAAGATGTATACTTGCACTTCTCAGTATAGACTTGTATTAGGGTGGTATAGCTAGGTAGATGCATTATATGGTTTGTCACTTTCCCTTGCAGCCTTGCAACCTCTCTCTATGTAGTCTCACACCAGACTTAATATAAATAGACCAGAATGTGTAAGCATATCCGCATGCATGTGTATATACATACTCCATCCCTTGCTTTGTAGTTAGTCATCGTTGACTTTTGCAGTCAATGGTTTTAAACTTTGATTGATAATATATTTATATATGAAAATATTTATAATATGGAAATGATTTGAAAATGTTCTATGTTAAATTCTCAACTTCTGTTTGCCTTCTATCTGTCTTGTTATCTTTCTTGTTGTGTACATTTTGAACAGGAGGCTGGACGTCCTCTTCCCAAGTATTTGAAATCTTGTATGTTCATCTAAACACAATTGTCTAGGAAATGCAGTCTCTCACCCAATCTTTGTGGTGGTTCAACCCTTACTGGTCAATAATGAAAAATCTGTTGCAATCAAATACAAAATCTTTGCTATCGGTTATCACGGGTTAAAAGTGAAAATGTTGCAACGTATTTTGTCACGTTGAAAACCGAATACAAAACGTCTGAAATTAAAAAATGTTATTTTTGCAGACTTTTTGCGAAATCAGCATAATCAGTTAGGTATGATTACTTTTTAGTTCATTGTACTAAAGTATATTATACGTAGTATCATATACCCTTAAAAGAAAAAAAAATACTAGTGACCAGGCTGTAAGCTGTCTACTATATAACACTTTTAATAGCTCTTGCTTTTTGAAGTTTTTCTTTATCTTGCTTCACTTTGTTTACATCATCAGCTCTCTTATTGTTCTTGTCATTATATGGTTTGATTAATGATGTGGTAAAATTTTGACAGATCATGTAGTCTCAAACGACTGAAACTTGAATCTTGCACACAGGTGTCGGAAACTGTTTTAGCTGAAGCATTAAAAAAGTTCCCTGAGTTGGAAGAGTGTCACCTGGTCATTATGCCAACAGTTCTTGCCAAAGATGTCGAAGCTATTGGCCGTTCGTGCCCAAAGCTGATATCATTCACATACGATGACTACGAGTACAGATATTGGGATAGTTACATGGTTGACGCGGGACCCGAGTGTAATGACTTTGCCCTAGCAATTGCAAAAAACATGCCCAACTTGCAGCATCTTAGCCTCTTTGCACATCGTATGACAAACGAGGGGCTTGAAGCCATTCTTCACGGTTGTGCCCACCTAAAGTCGCTAGATATACGGCAATGCTACTGTCTCAATATGACACAGGATTTGGAAAAGAAATGCCATGAGAAGGTAAAGGATTTGAGACTCCCTTCTGATTCTATCAGTGATGTGGCTAGACTTAATGAGGATGAACCATCATATGATGACATTTGCCCGGATGTGTGTGGATGTTGTAGCGGTTCTGACTCTGATGGAGGGTTTTATTACTATCCATCACCTTAATTTCATCTACTTTAGGTACAAACTTATGTCCGCATTTTTGTTTTATTGGTCAAATATGTTCCCGTTTGGCTCATACTGAATTGTATAAAAGTCAAAATAAGTAAGGTCAGAGTTATCTTTTCCAGTTGAATTGGCTAAAGTTATTATAGAAGACTATTTTAGCCATTTTCATATATACTCCCTCCGTCCTGTGATGAACTTCCCACTTTCCTTTTTAGGATGTTCTAGAAACAAGTTCTCATTTCCTTAAATGACAAGTTAATCTACATCAAAACAGTGTCAAATAGTGCAAAACAATGTCAAACAGTGTCGAAACAGTGCAAAACAGTGCCAAACTGTGTCGAAACAGCGTTAAAATAGTAAAATTTACCCCATGGTAAGTTTATTTCCTTAATATGTGTGCATGTCAAACTGTGAAGTTCATTGTGGAACGGAGGGAGTATATTTTTATTAATAAAATACTCTGTACATTTAAAATACTTTTTCCTTAATTCAGCTGATTCAGCCACTCCAGCCTAGATTCCACAAATTTCGGCAGATTCAAATTCAATCAATTTCAGTGTTTTCAAATAGACTCTATATTTCTAAATTTTGAAAAACCTCTATAAACAACATTTATGATCTTGGTAGAAAAACCATGATTTCGGAGCGAATTAAAATCTTCAATATAATCCATCTTTGCTCTTGACACTTGATATGACAATTGACAATTGATCGAATGTGAAGACATTTTTCGCGAGATATAATCTCGACTTAAAGACTGATCTAGCCTCTTGTTGATTCTCATCGCAAAGCATATCATATCGGAAATTGTTCATTTAGGATGTGAATTGTGCCTCCATATTTCTTCTAGTGGTGATTTTTGCCTCTACCACATGTCCATTATCTATGGAATTACTACCTTTGTCGAGGGATGGGTTGTTTCTTCTCCTGTACTGGATACTCATCTTCATTAATGGAGGTTGTGGGCCCGAAACATATGGGATAATGTTTTGAATACACATCGCCTATCATGCAATGTGACTTCTTGTTGAAATCTCCGCAAAGGTTGTGTATCATTAAACTTTTTACAACATAATCTTGAAATAGGATTAAGGATTTCAGCAGAGATTTCTAGATATTGAAAAGGATTAGGGATTTCAGCTGAGATTACCTGACCAATATCATCAACACCTTTCAACTTGTACTCAAAACGCAAAAAAGGGCAATGTGGGCATGTGCGAGGCATCTTTTTCAAATTCAATAGTGCAAATAATTCCATGGTCAAGGAAAAGGATTAGTATGCTTTTTTTTAATCCGGTAGGCAAATTACCCAATGTAGGAGCGAATGCCGGAGAACATTTACTGTATTTCATTAAAAAGATGAATAAAAGTTACAAATGAAGAGGGGCACTATACCAGGATCTCCCCAAAAGCGACATGTCTTTCCAAATAAATATTGAGAACATAAGATAAAGTATAAGAATAACAAAATTTTGGGGGACCAAAACTTACCCATATTAAGTATATTTGAATAAAGGATACCCATAATGGATCTTCTAATTGAAGCTGGTAAATTAGATATAGTGTCAAAAAAACTTCTCTAGTTGTGAGTTATTTTCTTTAATCATCTTCCATGAATATTAATTACATTCATATTTTATATTTCATATTAATATTTGAGCATTACTTAAAGAATCAACTAGTTCTGTTTAATATATTAATTATTACTAGAATCGATCGACGAATACGCTTGTTAATCGTTCGGACCTTTCAACAGTAGTAAATTTTGATTATTAATGCATGCGTCTAATGATTAATAATATAAGGGAAATTAATTATTAATGCATTGAGTTTCTGACGTGCACTTTGTCACGGTGCGTCAAAATAAATTCAATACTAAACACTTATACGTAGTATAGCGTAGTAGAGTTCGTATCCACAGGGAAAGGAATATTTCTCTTTTTATGAAACTTAGTAAATAAAAGGGGGGATTTGGATTGAGTGATTTGATTTAATTAAAAACTAAGATGAACGACCTATATGAGATTTAATTCAAAGATAAAAAGGACTTGGCATTGCTACTTTCCACTTGTTGATATATTTTAGTCGATCATTGTTATATCTATAACTTATTCCCTCTCGAATACTCAATCGGGGAGTATATCCACTTCATCGAGGGTAGTTATTAACAACGACCGTTCATTAATAACCCTTACTATTAATCAAATATAGAACAACGCCTTATACCGATTTAATAGTAGCATTTAATCTTTCTAACTCCTTGATGAAATCAATTGAGATTGATAACCTCAACACAAGCGGTTTCGGTTTAACCAACAAAATTAATCCCTCTTAAGTTAATTAACCACGACCGTGCATTAATAAACCGAAGTTACTTACTTGTGAAACCATCAACGATTAACCATCGGTTCGTTGATCGTTTCTAGTAATAATTAATATATGAAACAAAACTAGTTGATCCTCTAAGTAATGTTCAACATATTAATATAAAATAAGAGTAGGAATTAAATAATATTCAAGAAAGAATATTATTAAAGAAAATGAATCCTACTATAATTAATATCAAGATGTTAACTAATTGTCATCTTAGCAACACTCCCCAACATTAATATAGAGGAAGAAAATACCATTCTAACTAATGTCGAGATGTTAACTAATTGTCATCTTAGCAACACTCCTCAACATTAATATAGAGATGGTATTAAGGAAAGAACTATTAATTAATATTCAAGGAAAGAAGTTAAGAAAATAACTCACAACTTTAATAATCAACAAGCTTCAAGAGCAACACCAAGAATGGAAGTTTAGCTCCTCATTTGGAGACTAAACATAGCTAGAAAAATATAAAGAAATGCTATTCTAAATTGAGCTAAAGAGTATGGAAGAAGGGATGATTTTTAGAGAAGAAAAAGTGTGCTATTTATAGGTGTTTTTCAACACCTTTGGCCGGGTACCCGACCGGGTCAAGTACTTACCCGACCGGGTCCGGTCAAAATCAGATAATTCGCCACGTTCTGGTGATCTTCGCACGTCGTTTTGTCCCGGGTCACATCTGACCCGACCGGGTCCAGTGACTTTCTTGGCAATTTCGTCTGTTAAATCATACCCGACCGGGTGGGGGTTTCTACCCGGTCGGGTTTCACTCCTGGGCAGTCAAATTTCTTGTTTTCTTCTCTTCAAAGTCTTCCTTTCCAACACCACAAATCCTAACTATACTTTACAACTTATAAATGAGAATTAAAATACGATTACAACTAAAATCACACAAATGTTTACAAACTAAATAAAACGGTAAACAATACACACAAATCAATCATAAAAATATACATTTATGCACTACTAATTAGTGCATATCAAATACCCCCACACTTAAACCTTTACTCGTCTCGCGTAAATCAAATCCGGTCCAAAAAGTCCTTAAAATGACAAGAATATCAACACACACATCCACGAGTGTTTTTAGAAGCACATAAAGAATATCTCCAAAAATATAACAGTAAAGAGGGTCTTCAACTCCATATTTCTTTATCAACCTCAACCTTTTTTTTGTTACCCTTAGGATCCTGCAGAAATAAAAGAAAATACTTTCTCTCGTTCTCTCATTTTGTCTAGGTGCCCTTTCGGGTTTTCATCCCACCTTCCCACATTTTTCTGTTTTAATCCTCACAACTCACTCTCATTTTTGCTTTATTTTTGCTTAAGTTGCCCTTTCAGGTTTTCAACTTAACAAGCTTTTTTACTGTATTTTTTTTTACAAGAATAAAGAGTATGAATGTGAGTATTCAAAACTATCCCCCAAGCTAATCAAAGCACTGTCCCTAGTGCTTGTGTCTCAGATGATTTTTTTTTGGTTACTTTTTGGGAGGTTTTGTTGGTGATTCGTGGGTGTGGAGATGAAAAGGGGGAAGAGGTGATGAATGAAATGGGTTTAATTGGTGGATGGATGTAGGAGATATGAAGCTTTTGACTTTTGGAAATGGAGGAAATTTGGGGTGTGGTTCGAAAGGGAAGACAAATTTGGGTGATTTAATTTTTTTTTTTTTTGAGAAATGGCCTGGTTTCCAAAAAATCGAGATACCCGGCCGGGTGGGGTTGTGTACCCGGTCGGGCGTAAACTGTTCACCCGAGGCAGAATGTTTTTTGTTGGGTTGCCCGGCCGGGTATAGGGGTCTACCCGGTCGGGTGTTTGGTTTATCATTGTTCCGCTCTTGCCTCGCCCGGATGGTTGGCCGGGTGTTTTGTTTTTAGAGGTAACTCGACCGGGTAGGGTTTTATACCCGGCCGGGTTCAATCCCAGGTCATTTTTTTTTGAAAAGTGTAAAAATAAAATAAAACAAGTAAACGTACCTTGCTTGGGTTGCCTCCCAAGAAGCGCCTTAGTTAACGTCGCGACACGACGTCATCATTGTGTTCAGTCGTTCAAACTGGGATCATGATAGTGTATCTTCGCCACATTTTCACTCCTAGGACTTCCATAGGAATGCTTGATTTTCTGACCCTTTATTTTGACCTTTCCGGGATCAAATATCCAGATTTCTATCGCTTCATATTGTGAGAGTGTTGGTCCATGATTTTCATTAAGCATGGTCAATGGAAGGGGGTTTGATCCGGGTGGTATAAGAGGGAGTATGAAATATTTGTGTAATCCCACCGTTATTCCTTGCTTATTTGTGAACAAAGAGAAGTCTAAATTATACTCACAATTGCTGAAGATTTCATAGATATCTTTGTCCTTCTCCACCCTTTGTATTTCCCTTAGAGCCTCAGGAAATGGTGGCATGATCTCAGGAATGAACGGTGGTTGAGTTGAGTTTTGAAGTTCCTCCTCGAGTTGAGCTTTCTCCGTAAGCTCATCTTCTTCCTCCTCCTCGCCCATGTGGTTCACAATGCTTGGCATTTGTTTCAATTGATTGTCCAAGTTCTGTTCGTTGGACACTGCTTCTTGCGAGCATCGTGACATATTGTGTTGCATATTTGTCACATTGATAGTGAGAGCTCGGATCATGTCTTCAATGGACATGCTGGAATAAGAACATGAGTATGAGCTATATGTGTTGGAGAATGAATCATACCTCTCTTGGAAACCAACACCATTCCTTTGTTCAAAGAATTCTTCTCGAAGCTCTGGGCAAA